AAAAAGAAAAGACAAGAAGACCTCATAGCGATTATCAAAGAATTACAAAACATAAAAAGAATTGATTTCTATACAAATAGATCACTATATGAAGAAGAAGTATTTTAAAGAACACAAATAGAAGCAGGATAAGTAGCGATTGCAAAGTATGAAAAGAAGAAGACAAAAAAAAAGCAAGATTTAGCTACATACTTGAGAAGTGGCCATCCTCAATAAGAGCAGAACTAGAAGCGATTTGGACAGCATCACTAGTAGCACCAGAAGATACAAAGATAATAATATATACAAATAGCCTCACTTCTATACAGGCGCTCAAATACAAAGATAGTATAGAAAAAGAAAAAGAAGTATTTAAGCTCAAGAATACAAGTCTTATACGACAAACTCAAAAATATAGAAGATGAAAAATCTCAAAATATAGCTAAAAAAAGTTAAAGAACATAGCAAAAATATTTACAACAAAATTGCAGATAAGCTAGCGAAAAAAGGAACAAAAGAAAAGAAAACAGTAATAACAAAGTGGCTATAGTCAAAAAGATCATGTATACTAGCAAAATAGAAAGATATTATGATAGATAGTCCAATGAGAGAAGTTGTAAACAAACTAGCTTTAGCAAACTTAGATGCGGAATAGGCAAATTTAGATAGAAATATTAGATAGATTAGTAGAAGTAAAGAGAAAGAATTCGATTAGAAGGAAAAATGAAGGTAGTAAATGAGAACAAGAAGAGAAATTGTACAAGTGAGAAAAAAAACAAAAGATAGATATTTCAAGTCAAGTGCCTAAGTGAGATACTGCCAACCTTGACAGAGCTAAATATAAGAAAACCTGAAATATATAGAACAAATACTTGTATAGTATGTAAAGAAAAAGCAGAGGATTTAGATCATCTTGTTAAATACAAAGAGTACCAAAATATATAGAATATAATTAAGAACGAAGCTAATAATGAAGGCCTCAAAGTACTCTGGAAAGAAAACACAAGAAGAGATTTTAATAACAAAAAAGCAGTTAAAAAACTTTTTTCAGAAAAATGCAAAAAGAAAAAATAGAAACGAAAAGATATCTAGTAAGAAGCCTTATAACTAAAGAAAGAAAATAGAGATCGAAAAGAAAATAGAGGACAAAAACACAAGACAAAAGGTGTTAAATATGATTAAAAAGAAGTTTGACAAAGATTCTAGACCTGCATATGGAACTTTAGATGTGAACTAGTAAACGATTAAAAAAAGAAAAACGGAATCACTACCAAAGCCAAAAGAAAAGAAGAGATAACAAGGAAAAAGAGACCAAGACAAAAATTTGAAAACAAAGAAAACAGAGCCGCAGAGAAAGAGAATCAGAGAAAAGCCCTCAAAAAAAAGAAAATGAGTTCTAAATATGGTAAAAGAAAACAACCAAAACCTAATCAGCTACTATATTAAACCAAACTAGTCTTTATAGACCAATATTATAAAAAAAAATAGTGATTTATGTAAAGCTATTACCCAGTTCAGCTGACTCATACAGGTTGATCCAACTCAGCGAGTTATACAGGTTACAGGTCAAAAGTAAGTTGATCTGAGTCAAACAGGTCATTAATGTGTTAAATTAAATTAACTTTATTACTTTAATTGTACTCAAATTTATAACCCGATTTGGCACAATTTTTAATACAAAATGTAAATATTACTATTACTATGATTCTTTATTTACTTTTATTAATCGAAGTTGCAAATCCTAAGTCTTTAACATAATGTAATACAAATCACTTTGAAACAGAAAGACTGTATATTGCTATTATATAAATCAAAATGAATAAAATTATTTGAATAAATTACTTGAAAATTGAATGTATTATAAGATAGCAATTCTAATTTTTTCTTCCATTTTATTTGTGCAACTGTATAATTATTCTTACGTAAAAGATTCAATTCTGCATATTGCAAACCTAAAATATATTTATTCATGCCTTTAATTTTTGATATTTCATAGCATTGCAAAAATATAGTTTTAGATCAAATATTTGAATATGTGATTAATTTAAGATTATAATTATTAATAATTGATTAATAATAATTAAATTTAAAATTTTGAGTCATTAAATATATACCTTTTTTATAAGTTCTTTATAGCTACTTCTTGATTCATGAATCAATTTAAGTATAAAATTTGATTACAAATACTACTATCGGCATTTCTAATTAGCAGCATACATAATTGTAAATCCAGATATGTATTAAATTAATAAAAATATATTTAAATTACAATTTAAAGCTCAAATCACAAAAAATATAATACTTTTTTTAAAATTTAATACAAACCATCTTTTTTATTTAAAAACATTTAAAAATTGGCCAAAGCTTCAGAGCTGCTTTGAGATACAAAATCGTTCCAACAAATTGATGATCAAAGCTTGTTCGTTTTTTAGTAACTGTAAGACCAGCAGATGAAAAAAAACATTTAAATAGTATCGAAGTGGCTGGAATTGGTAAATACTTGCGAGCTAGTTTTGCAAGTATTGTATATTCTGTTTTTTTAATACCTACCATTGAAGTATATTAGTTTTGCTTAGAGCTTTTGATAGTAATAGGTATGAATCAAATTCATCATTATTATTTTTCTGACTTGGTTGAGAGTTAGCTTCTAAAATAGAAAAAATATCCTCTTTAATATTATCAGATATTAAAGAATTTGTTTGATCTTTATTAAACTCATAATTATCAGAAACTAATTCATGATATTCTATATGTGTTTCTAGAATAGTAAACCGGTTTTTTTCATCTGTGAATATCTGCATATCTTTAGTTTGGGGATCCAAAAAAGCAGCAAGTTAAATTAATTTTGTTGGTTCTAAAAATCGTGTTTGAATTGATTCACAAAGATAATTTCCAAATTTTTTAATATTATTATTAGGTATCAATATATTAGATATTAATATATTAATTTTTGTTTTGATATAATTAATCGCGAACCATGCTTGAGAGGGTGTCAGATACTGTGAACCAGATAATTGTGTTGAAACAACTTTATATGAATATAATAGCTTGACCAAACAAACTATCTTTTTCTAATCTTCAAATGACAACTCTTTTTCTTCAAAGCTTTTTAATATACTACTTTCATTGCTTTCAACTAAAAGAGACTTATATCTATATATTGCAAGCTTAAGGATAGTTAATCATTTTAGCAAAAAAAAAGTGGAGTTCCAACATATTAAAACATCATGAACTACAAAAAGCAACTTATTTTAATCCTTTATTGATATCTGAGCTGTTAATAAAAACTGCTTTTGTTTAGAGCTTATACTAAAATGTAATATAATGTCTTTGTATTTTTTAATAAGGTTTGTAATCTCAGAACATTTTTTTAATGCATCATTAATTGCGAGTTGCAAGGTGTAACCAAAACAAAAGATTTTTGATATTTTATATTTTTCCTCCAACCTTTCTAAACACAATTTAACATTTGATCCATTATCTATTATATCACAAATAACCTTATTTCTAAGCTAAAATTTGTCTAAAATTTCAATTATTTTTTTTTCAAGCCACTTAGCTATATGGGAATATAGAAAATATGAGATTTCACCAACCATTTCTTGTATTTAAAAATTTTTATTTATCTAATGAAACGTAAGTCCAATGTATGAATCGTTATTATTTGAAGTCCACATGTCAGTTGCAAATGAAGTATAACAAATCTTATTATTATTTTGTGTATACTCATACATGCTTTGCAAAACTCTATCTTCCGCATTAATCAAAATTTCGTTTAATTGATTATTGCTTAATATATTGGCCTAAGGATCAAGATCCTCGATTATTTTTATTAATGTTCATGATTATAGTACAGAAAATAGTTGAAGCTTCTCAGTTATAAAAGCAGCGAGATTGTTGTTAAGCTTTTTTTGTTTTGGATAATTAAGCGAATATTTTGCTAGTTTACTGAATACCTCTACTAATGTTATTTGTGAAAGTTCTGCTATTATTTGAAATCCACATTTGCCACTATCATTTTTCTTTATTTTTACTCGTCCACTTTCTATTATAACTTTTAAGAGATGATGTTTGTTTTTTAAATATCGCTATAGATTTGATGTAGTGCCATTTTTTTTATATTTAACTCGTGGGTAACAACTTTTATGATGGACTACATCCTAATCTTTTAGCCTTTTTTTATATTAAAACATTGTTGGCAACTGTGAAACTTTGTTATAATTTGAACTTTCTGTGTTCATATCAACACTATTAGAATCTACTACCTCTAAGTCAGTATAATCTGGTTCTACTATCACTATATCATCGTCTATCACTACATCATTGTCTATTACCACATTATTATCTATCGCCACATCGTCATCTATATGTTCTAACTTCATGCTATCATAATACTCTTTGTCATTCATTAATATAGCTTTTCTAAATTTTATTATTTTATATTAGTTATAATAACTAATATAATTATTAAATATAAGAGTGTGGTAACTTAGTGAAGTGGTTAAGTTATCGTACTCTCAAGTGACTTGTTAGCTAGATAGAGGTTCAAAACTTACTGGCGACAAGTTTCAAAATATTCTACCTGTACAATGTTATTGCCGTCTGATTAATGGTTAGAACGAGATCTCTGTAACTCTAGTGGTACTAACAGAATTGAGAGATCATAGGGCATTTGTGTAATGCATGAGTTACATGAATAAGCTTCTGGATCATTGTAAACCCAGAAAACCAAGAAGAACGATAGAACACGCTTGGCAAAACCCGAGTAGAAAGGTAGCACAGATCTTTAACAATACTACATAAAGGATTATTACTGAGAGAACTGGCAAAACTGAACGGGACCGAAGTGTTTAGCAAGGCACTCTACCAACCAGGCTGCCAGAAGAGTAACTAAAGGAAAAGGACCCAACCGTAGAGACTAGAAGCAGATCATAGCCCTTCTGGGCTATCTGAATTGGTAGTTTGGGATTGTTGGGATTAAAATTGGTGATAGTTTGTAAAGTATGTATTGGGTTTGGGTAAACTCTACAAGGGCAGAAGTAGGTAATAGTAGCAGCCTCGGCTCACAAGTACTTGTTCTCGGACTCAGGCGTAAGTTATCGAAGTCTAGGTTAGCCGGATTGTGGGTATGAAAAGCTCTAGCAAGTTTACCTCGAGGGTAAATTAACCCTAGGTTGGGCACTTTCTATGGCAGATATTGGTTCCTTATAAGGATATAGCGGTGCAGAGAGTTTAAATAGATAATTCTCTAGTTGGATTATAGATATAGCATCTAGTATAGAACCTTCGGGCAGACTACTTAAATAGACAATCAAAAGTTGTACGTGTAGCTAGTTGTACTCTCTAAAAACCATGTACCAAATAAATAGCAGCCAACTTTGATCGGCTTAGCACAAAAACTAATAAAGGCAACTGACCATAAAGTCACTTTGATATTAAAAAAATAATTATTAAATATAATAAAATTATTTGTTGACTTACTTTATTGAAAAGTTTCTGATAACATAAAATCTATGTTTATTAGTAATTTAGTAGATATGAGATTTAGGTAAATTCAATTTCAAAACAAAATAATAATGATAAATATTCTCATATATATAAAAATCACAAAATATACCAGATAAGTAAAAATTTTATATTCTTACCGCTATTGTATTGTTACAAGAAATTCTAATACAGCTGTCTATAATTTTAGACAAAAGACTCTAAATAACTTGTTAACTTGATCACTAAAAACTATGAGACATTAAGATCAATATAATACTACTACCACTTATTAAAAAATTATAAAATCATACCAAGAAAAAAAGAACATGTAATACTTGAGGTTTGATTTGTTTGGGTTGAACTCTTTATACATACTTCATTCACAAGTTATTTTTAATATTTGATTTGTTCAGAAGATCACTAGAAATTACAAGAAATTAAAATTGATTACATAGCTATATTGTCATAAATTTTATTAATAAAATCATACTGAGAAGCAAAAAAAAAGTCTAATTTGTTTGGTTGAGACTCTTGGCTTGTTTGAAAATCACCAAAAACTATAAAAAATAAAATCAATTGTAATACTATATTGCTATAAGCTATTGAAGAAGTTATGATATTAAATCTTACCGAAAAGTAAAAAAAAAAAAAAAATACCAAAGGTCTAATTCGTAGGTATTAGCTATTGCACCTGCAATATACTTTAGAATATTCTAAAATTATTATATTTATCCAAAGATAGAAACTAATAAAAATCAAAATCACAATATCGCTATACTGCATCAACTTTGAGTTATAAAATCTTACTAGAAGACAAAAAAAAAAAAAAAAAAGAAGGATAATACTTGCAAGGTCTAATTCATTGTAATTGTACTTCTTCACACACTATACCCCTATCCACAGATAATTTCAACAACTCTGCTATTAATCAATAGTTATGTTCAAAACTTAATTTTGAATAATTTTATATTGAAAGCAAAAGTACTTCTTAGATATTCCTTATTACGTGCTAGATTATGATTGGCTAGCTGCTATGCATCATCACATGAATTAATTTAATTAGCTGATCTGTTTGACCTAGATTATAATTCAGGTCAATTTCTGACCCAATTTTTATTGATCTGAATCATTATTTCTGACTCAGGTAATAGCTCTAAATTTATGACAAGATTAGCAGCTTCCAGCTAAGCATCAGAGAAACCAAATTCTTAGTAAGTTGAAGATCTAATGTGAAGCAAATTGGCTGCTTAAGTGGATCACACCTGGGTTTTAATATTGAGTGAGTCTTTATTAGTACAGGAATATAGTATAGAAAATTTATATTTAGTTTAAATGTAAAGTTCTGGTACTTCTGATTTAAATAATAAAGGCAAGATCACTAAAAAAAAAAAAAAAAAAATAAGATACTATAGGCTTCACAGAATTAAAAATTCTAAACAAGATTCAAGAAAAATCAAGTTCAAAAATTTTATAGTATTAACAACTTCAACAGAATAAATAATAGAAATAATGTTGTTTAGTTACAAATAGAGAATAAATTTAATATAAAATAGTCAAATTTTCTTAATTGGTGATTCGCCAGTCAGCCAGTAAGAGGTCATATTATAACATAACGCGGTTTATTTATAGAAATTAAAGTTTTGCAAATATGGGCTGCATCATTCTAAAACTTTTTTTTGTACTAAGTTAACCACCTTTGGGCTTCTAATTGAAGTTGTAGAGCTCATTGAGAGGAATCTAATAGTGGTTGAATTATCAAAATTGGCTTTGTGAATTACAAGATATGGTGCGAGAAGCTTTAAATCTCCATAAAAAATAGCTTTACAAAAAATGCTATTTCTCTTTTAAAAATATATAAAATGTAAAACTAATCTACAAGATTAGTTCTTCTTGCCTTTAAGAACAAAACTTGTGGTTTAAATTTAGATTTAAATTTAAACTGACAGAGCAGTAGCCTTTTAAAGTTTGTCTATTTATTATAAAATTGTAAAAAAGTAAACATATATGTTTTCTCTTTTCAACCAATCAGATTGCTTTATACAGACCATGTGTTATACTAAATTTTATAAAATTTTTTAGTATTAGAGTTAATCAGACAAAAAATTAATTTATTTTTAGTACATGCTCGTATTTTAGGTTAAATGACTGTCTACTTCCGGTTTATTCTACTAAAATTATTAGGAATAAAAAAGTAAACAAAATTACATGATTGGAGAGTTAAAGTTTCTTGTACCATATTTTGAAAACCATTTTGCCGACTATGTAAAATTCTCTTGTTTGACAATAGTAATGGCAAGAAAATTTTATATAGTTAATAAAATGTTTTTCAAAGATATCTTATAATCCACAAGGTCGATTTTGATGATTAAACTATTATTAGATTCCTCTTAATAAGCTCTACAACTTCAATTAGAAGCCCAAAGGTAGTTAACTTAGTATGAAAAAAAGTTTTAGAATGATGCAGCCCACATTCACAAAACTCTAATTTTTATAAATAAACTGCATCATATTACACTATGACCTCTCACTAGCTAACTGGTGAATTACCAATTAATACTTATACAAATAAGCCCATATAATCAACTATCTTAAAGAAGTTTAGATGCTTTAGAAGAAAAAATTTGTAAAAGCTTTGACTAATAGATTTTTTTATTTTGAGACAACTATTACCTCCTAGATTAAGGATGCTTATACAACATTAAAAACATACCTATATATATCAGCAGAAGATCTTTGCAATATTTATGTAAAAATTGTCTTGATAATAAAAAATCAAAAAAAAGCAGATACTATAATTGCATCAGAGAAAATTCACTTCCTGATTTCTGTATAAAATAATTCTCTATATGCAAATATTAAAGACAAAATTTTTAATTTTGTTTTTAAAAAAGTAGATAAACAATATCAAAAAATAAAATATATAATAGCATAAAATCTTTTACCACTATATACTAAATCATTTTATAGTATAATAAGACTTTCTTGTATTTATTAAATTCAAATTTTTAAAAATCATCGAAGCTTAACACTTGATGATTTTCATAAGTATTGGTAGATACAAGCTTATTCACCAATACTACTTGTCAAAACAAATATTTACGAACTACAACCTCTTTTGCAATCTCTACAAAAAAAGTATAAAAAATGGCCAGAATACCAACAAGTAGCTATACAAAAAAAATTGAACCATATAATTAATACTCTATTGACAGCCTTGCAAAATTCTCAAGTTGTTCATACTAGAGAAAGATCTTCTAGTGCTTCTAATCACCAAACAAATAATTTAACTAAAAGAGATCTTTTTGGCTTTGAGTTAATAAAATATAGAGTAAAGAGATATACTTACTACAAAAAGCCTAGATATTATGCTAGCACTTGCTCAAACAAAAATTAATTAATATTTAAAAGAAATAAGTCATAAATTCTGTAAGTATATAATGTCAAATATGATAGAATAGGTTATACAATTCTGTAGTTTCTGTATATATATAAGAGAGGTATGCCTAATTTGACGTAATACCTAATTTGACACATAATGATATCTTAAAAACTATCGATTAGAATTGCATGATTCTGATACTATTTGATTCATCATATCGAAATGAATCAAACAGTACTAAAATCATGTGATTTTGATTGATAGTTTTTGAGATACTTTATTTAACCAAAATAGCTCAAGGTAGATATATCTAGTTTGATGCAAGTAAATATTTATAATAAATATCATGCAATATATTGATCAGAATCACAAGATTTTGGTATTATTCGATTTGTTTCATCAAAATGAATCAACTTGTACTAAAATCTTGTAATTCTGATCGATATATTCTATATATTTATTGTAAACGTTATACCTGTGTCAAATTAGACACTATATCAAATTAGAAATATATTTTTTAGATAACCTTTAATAAATAATATC